GAGCCGCCGCTGGAGGCCTCGCCGCAGCACCTGGGCCACCCGCCGGAGCACTCGGACGAGGACGCGCCCAGCTCCGACGACCTGGAGCAGTTCGCCAAGCAGTTCAAGCAGCGGCGCATCAAGCTGGGCTTCACCCAGGCGGACGTGGGGCTGGCGCTGGGCAGACTCGGACGAGGACACGCCGACCTCGGACGACCTGGAGCAGTTCGCCAAGCAGTTCAAGCAGCGGCGCATCAAGCTGGGCTTCACCCAGGCGGACGTGGGGCTGGCGCTGGGCACCTTGTACGGCAACGTCTTCTCGCAAACCACCATCTGCCGCTTCGAGGCGCTGCAGCTCAGCTTCAAGAACATGTGCAAGCTCAAGCCCCTGCTCAACAAATGGCTGGAGGAGACCGACTCCAGCACAGGCAGCCCGGCCAACCTGGACAAGATCGCGGCGCAGGGCCGCAAGCGCAAGAAGCGCACCTCCATCGAGGTGGGCGTGAAGGGCGCCCTGGAGAACCACTTCCTCAAGTGCCCCAAGCCCTCGGCCCACGAGATCACCTCGCTGGCGGACAGTCTGCAGCTGGAGAAGGAGGTGGTGCGGGTCTGGTTCTGCAACCGGCGGCAGAAGGAGAAGCGCATGACGCCGGCCGGCGGCCCGCACCCGCCCATGGAGGATGTTTACGCACAGGCGGACACCTCGCCGCTGCACCACGCGCTACAGGGCTCCGTGCAGTGACTGGGCGGCGGGGCCGGGGGCTGAGCGCGCCGGGCAGGGTCCGCGCTGGAGTTTACAGTGGGGGGCCCAGGAGCCAGGGACTGCGGGGGAAGCCCCGGCTGGGGCAGAAGGGGCCGCGCCCGGCCCCCGCCAGGTATCGGACACCCGCCGAGCGGTCCCTTCCAGCCCCTCCGGCTCGAAGTCGCGCTCGGGACTTTTTTTCGGTTTCGGGCCCTGGGATGCAGAGACTCGCCTGGCGGCGCGTGGGAGACGCTCCTTAATTTATTCCTCAGACTGGTTCGCAATTGAATTTGTCTCTAATTTAACTCGCTGTATTTATTTGACTTCCAAAAAAAAAAAATACCGCGCGCTCCAGAGCCCCGCGGCTCTGCAAACGCCGCGAGAGGAGAACTAGCCAAAGGTTTGAGATCTATTTTATTCTTCATTTGCTCCCCTGTCACTGACACTGTCTGCTGGGGCGGGGGGGGCCTCAGGCCGGTAT